CGAAGGCTGCTGCTCTCCTCTGGGTGCTCACAAGACATGAAACACACAGCTCTCTATCAAGTGCCTTCTTTAAATTTTTTTTTTTTTTGTCTTCTTCGAGATCAGATGAACACTTTGAGGTCTCTTACGCCCGTTTCCCCAGCACCACGTGCAGAACCTGACAGGTGACGATGCTTAGTAAAAGCTTCCTTGCTTGAATGGCTGGGTGGACGGTGTCACAGGTGGGCTGATAGGTGGGGAGGTGGGTGAGAAAGAAAGGAGCCCAGAGAAAGAACAGGTCTCTAATTCTAGTCAGTCCAGTCTCCCTAAGAGTGATCTTCTAAATCATCACACCTCAGTCCCTTCTAAGTAAAGCAGATGGCATCCTCAGACACCGGGCCCTCTAGGCTTGACATATGCACTGGGGGGCTGGAAACCGGGCTAGTCAGATCCATTCGCGATACAGACATTAGATTAGGGATTCTGGCTAAAAGCAACCAAGGGAAACCAAGGTATCCTTCCATATCAAGGAAAGCAACTCCAACTGCCCCAGATAAAACTCGTCACGTGACCAAAACTGTCAGCGCCTACACCAGCCCCCGCACTGAGCCCTGCGTTTTCCCTTTCATTTACCCTTTTTTTTCGTGGTGGGGGGGGAACCCTTAAAAACATCTTCCGAGAGAAACTCACAACGTGCACTTTCAGACAAAAATAAAACAGCACCCAAGACAAGATCCCCGAAGTCATGTTTACAAGCAAACTGGCCTTTGGGTGGTTGGCAGTTCCTGGACCAGCCCAGCCCAGGTGGGCTGCACCCTCTGATGTCACAGCCCCACAGCTGGCTTACTCCAAGCGGGGCAGAAAGAGTTTCTCACTGTTTTCTTCTCGTTCCCCAGCCCTCTGGTGCTCCCAGATGTTTTAATTACAGAGGAAAGGGAGCGGGTGATTCTGGCCATATGTCTCCACTCCACACAAATAAATCTCCTCGCTGTCCCGTGCAGCGCTGTGGCGCTGTGACTGTCCCACCGAAACGGATGCCGTCGGGCCTAATCACCATCTTCAATCCTTCAGTGAGCATGTTAATTCAGGGAACACCGGCTGGGACTGCTGTCCCAGGGAAATACTCAATCTAGAAACAATTAGACTCCGTCGTGCCAAGATGCTGTCCCTCCTCTGGGGAACTGGGCGCTGGCTTGGTCTGAGCTGGAAGAAGCCTGCAGGGAGTGGAGGGGGAGGAGCGAGGCAGAGCGGGGTCAGGACACAGGGCAATAATTTACAGCTGGGACATTGGCATCCCACACAGCACGTAGAAACTCAGGCACCAGGCCATTACCTAAGGCTGTGAAAATGCCCTGCCCTCCTAGGAACTATGGGAGGAACTCAAAGGAGGTGTCCCAAACATGTAGCTAGAGTGTGCACACACGAACACGCACACGCACACGCACACGCACACGCACACACACAGGTTACAGTGAGCTTTCCCAAGGAAACAGCAAAATCTGGCAGATGTATTTTGCATTCTGATTCAGTTTCACTAGATGCTAAATTTGCTTCTTAATCAAAGCATTGCCACGTCTAGATTAAGAAGAACAAACCCAGGAAAATTCTACATGATTTGGGGTTACCAATAGAGTTCTCTGGGTTTTTTTTTTCCTGTCCAGGTCATGCTGTAATTTGAACACAGTTATTGATCTGTGGCAAGGAGGCGAGACGGGGGTAGACCACTAAGGTGGTATATGTTACCTCGCAAGGTAATAGACCTTTGAATCGTCTTCAGGCATAAGGAAGTGGTTGCTTGTAACAGGGAGGGGTGGGCTGCTCCTACGGACCCAAGGAGTGGGAGCAGGTCAGGGGGTTCCAGGTGCTTAAGTGCAATCACCCAGCTGTTCTTACCCCACGTCTCAGGATCCTAGCTCTTTCTAACCAGGGCTCTGACTTGGCATGGCAGTTATACTAGGGTTGATGAGTTAACCTTCTTTGAAGATCTAAAACCCTTATAAATGTGTTCTGGGGCCCAACATTAAGCCTTTTCTGCCCTCCAGCTGCAGAAGATGAAACTTTCTGCATATGTATATGTATATTATATTGGTGACTAACCATCCCCAGGGTTCCAATGTTATTTTTCTAACACATCGATTATGCCAGCCACCCTAGTCCATTGTCCTTATAATTTTATCCCTTGAACTTCTTAAAAATCTAGAGGTATTATATTCACCAATGTGTTATCCTCTACCAGTATCCGACCCTAGTTCACCACTGGTGCCTGTTAACAATTGTATCGCTACCTCCCACCAGGGGAAGCTAGTATCCACCTGCCATTGCTGATGGGGTGCTCATTGCCAGCTGGCTAGTGGGTAATCCAGCTCCAGAAATCCCACTTCGAAGTTTACTGCCTTGACCACGTCTGACCTCAACTGTCTTAGGTTGGGTTCCTTGGGAAACAGAATTTGCGATGAGGATTTCCATGCAGAGGATTAGGGAGCGCTGTTAGGAACAATCCCTATGGGAGAAGTTAGGAAGCAGAAATGTGCCAAAGGAGAAAGTGGACTGTGATGCAGTCACAACAAAGGCTTCAGCTGATTCCATCAAGGAGCTCTGGATCTGGGATGTCCCTTCAGGTTGTTTCTTATCTAGGAAAGGTCTTTGTACCTCCTCATTGACCAGTGATTGGATGAATTGCCCTCCCTGGGGAAAGGGTACGACCTAGGGTGAGGCAGCTGTCTTTGGCCAAGGGAAATTCCAAAGAAGGACTCAGCTATAAGCCATCAGCAACTCACCCGTCAGCAGCTAGGGGTGTGGGTACCTCATATGTGATGCGGCAGTGAAGATAGCCTATGACAGTATCCACTACAACCTACACATGGTAAATGGTGATACATCA